ATTCTTTTGACTCGGAGGGTGTTTTTAGTTTATTTTTTCAACCACTAATCTTTAAACCAAATACATATTACGACCACAATTACTATAAAGATTTGCTTTATGATTAGCAAATCATTGTTTGCTTCCTTCATTCTGGACATATTTTTGATGGGTAAACAATGAAAGACGAATATCAATGTTAACGATATTGGATTTACATAGGATATTAAACATTTTAGTTGAATTCTGTCTCCAGTGTTTTGTGTTTACATAAAAATATATTCAGAATGAATGAGTGGAAAATCATAAAATTAATTATTTTAATTGGGTTTGTATTTACTATTAGGTACATATTATATCAACTGACGGAAAACGGAAAACGATAGAAGAAAGATAAATTAATTTTATCTCGGGCGAAATAGGATTTAAACGTTTAGAAGTTCAAGGGGGTATAACTAATGAAAAGTTCTCTGAAATGTGAAATTTTAAACTCAAATATTCATATTAAAAACAAAAAAAATAATCCATACATTGACGTATTGCATGTATTGTACAGATTGTTAAATTAAAAAAATATATAATATTTTATGTATATTTCTGGAAGGTCATTAATTTATTTGATTTCAAAACTTTCTGCGTTTAATAATTATCATTCACCTCAATTCATTGTTTTCTTTTATTCTTGTTTGTTCTTTTTTTTTTTTCGTAAGAATGGTCTTCTTTATTTCCACGTGTATTCCTTTCAACGAAAAATTCTCGTTTCAAACTTAAAAATCTCTCTGTTAGCTCTTATTATATTATTAAATACAGATTAAATTATCCTCAATTTTTGATAACCATTTAAACATTTTAAATGTTATCTTATCTTCATGCCGAAGTACCTTCACTAGATGGTTTCTTCCCTCAAGGCACTCAAGCCATCAAAAATAATAATAAGAAAAAAACCATACATTATGCTTATTGTACTTTTTTTGTATAGATTGTATAATTTTCTAGATTTAAATAAAAAAAAAAAATTATCTTAGAGTTTTTCCGGTTCAGCCATCTTATATTCAAGATTTGTTATCCATTTTGACTATAATAGGTATATATATATATATTTTAAATTTAATATCTAAATACTATTGTAATCAGAGCCAAGTCGAAATTAAGTTACATAAAATCTTAAAATATGTTAATGAAACATAATATATAAGTATGTAACACTGTTAAATAATACATGTATATTTACGAATTTCCATAAATTCATAACTGATAACTGTTCATACTATTTCTAGAACAATGTGTTATTGCAATCGAAATACTTCAAAATGATCAAGTCACACTTCATTCATTTAATTAGCTTATAATCTCCAATTACTTATTTACATAAATTATTCATCATAATAGGTTGCTCAAATAATATTAAATAAAGGTTCACAGTTTAATTTGATTTGAAGAGTGGAACAATAACAATTATCGATAAATGTACCTATCAAAAATGCTAAAAAGATAATACAAAATGTACACAAAGTACCTAGTTTAACGTTATTATACTAAATAAAAAAACCAGGTTTTCGTTTAAATTAAGTTGACTAAACAAGATATACTCAAACAATTTAGTCTGCTGTACGTAAAGTAATTTAAGTTGAACCGACAATATCGTTATCTCACCTAAACCTTTTTCAACTCTTCTTATACTTCAATGGTCACCGAAGTAATAATATAAATTAAACTATATGATTTATTTAAACAAAAATCAGAAATCCACAGTACAAAAAAATGATACATTTCAGTGACCTAAGTGCGATAAATTATACTGTGATCAATACTTAGTAATATTCTGATATTATGGCTGAAGCAATAAGTATTAAAAAATGTATGTTAAATTCTGAGTTCAAAATTTCAGAAATAAATTTGTCTTATGCAAATATAATAAAAAAAAATTAAAATCAGAGAAATCCATAAATCATGAACACTTTTATGAACATTTTTTTTTAATAGAGGTTTTGGAATTATAAACAATGGATGTTATTCCTCAATAATTGTTTTTCCTAGCTAGTTCAAGCAAATCTGATTTCAGCTTTAAGTTAAAATTCAACAATTATTCTGTTTAAAAGTTCCAAGTTTATATTAGTGGAACATATTGTTATTTAAGCAATGTGTTATCCTACCATACAGTTTAGTAATAAGTAAATATTTATATTAAATGTTATTAAATCACACTTTTGATTGCAAGAAGCCAACTATTGGTAACACTACCAATGTTGATTAATTATTCAGTAAAATTAATATTGTTGTTATATATTATAATTATTATTGATTATAGAATAGAAATTTTTATAATCGTCTATTCGTCTATAAAATTTAAAATTTAATAATTATTTTGTAGTTAAAAATGTATAAAATGTTCAACTTTTATATCTAAGGATTGAAAATTTAAAACAAGGTTTCATGTAAATATGATGTATATAAATTATTTTATTCACAATGATATCATCAAATATACTTAGTAATATCATAGGTTGACTGACCATCTTCGCTCAGAATCGATTTTCTTATATAATGATAATAGATATTAAGATAACAAATATGTTTGAATGTAACCAATTCTATAATAATAAATGTAATATACAATCGTATTTCATGGCAAACAAATATAATATTGTACGGCCAACACATTATTTTTACTCTAGTAGATTAGTTTAACTTTATAAACGCCTTTCCGAACTCTTCAAATTCAGAATCCATCCCAAGTAAAAGTATGAATATTTAATGACTTATAAGACTAATTTATGAAAATTAATACGATGTTCTATAAGTGTTTCAATTTAAGACGACTGCATGTCCCCATAAATCTTTAAAAGTTTTAAACTTTATTGTAAAGTAAATTCAATAAGATTAAATAATAAGTGAAGAATTAATGTTAAAGCAATTTTCTATTCCTTATAATATATAGGACTCAAAGAAAAGTTTAATTTAAAAAAAAATAAAAAAATAGAGGACTTAAAGTTGTTACGTACAGGAAAATATAACGAATGAAACGGGCAAAAAACAATCGGTGGCATACGACTTTTGCAGTTAAAGTCAAGTGTTGTTTAACGAGTTGAAAAAAAAACACAACGCGAGAAATGGGCTGGTTGTATTTTGCGACTAGGTCCTAAAAAAAAATGTTTGTCCTTTAATGGTGAAAAAAATGACATGAAGGTAAAAAAAATGAATTTTTTATAAGAATATAATTTGTAACGTTACCTACTGTGTCGGTGTATAAACGTGATGGTCCATAATATGATGTCACAGGTGGCGTAATCCAATATGGACATTGTATAATTTAATATGATGAAAACTTGGATCCACATTTTAAAAAAATCCCACGCTTAATTTCTTATTGGTAAATTTATAGTTTTGCTAAAGTACTCATCATATATTTAAAGTGAATTTTTATTGACCGTTTGATTTGAAATAAATATAAAAAATTTAAATCACAAAGTTAAACGTTTATTTTTTCTTATCTTTCTTATTTTGAGCCTAGTACTCAAGTGTTTTTTTTTTTTATAATAAAACATCAAAAGATTTTTTTTCCTAAATAATATGTTGTTTCTACAATGGACTAGCAATAAAACAAACCATTTATGTACTAGATTATAATTTCATGATTTCAATTTTTAAGTAAGTAAGCTTATTATTATTTTTTTATTAAATACAAATCGATCGTTAAAAAATAAAATAAAACTATGTATTTAATCGAATGGATTTTATTAGGAGCTTCAATACAATTGTATGTACGACTACTAATTATAGTTTGATACATTTAATATGTTATACGAACTATTTTGCATTCATTTTTAATTTTCAGCATGTAATTTAATTTTCACCTTAAATAATTACCTTTTTTAAAATAAATTTTTATCAAAGCCGTGTGTATTGAGTAAGTATTTACTACGTTTAAATTATATTTTCTCACCGAAACAATTTGATTTTTTTCCAAAATTAAATGTACAACATTTTAAAATACTAAAATCAATTGAACTTTATATGTGATCAGCATAAAAAAGGGTCATTTACCGGAACCGGAAACGATATTTTCACCCCTCTGCCATCAGTAAATATTCGTTACCTACCTAGAACTTTAGAGGTAGGTAATGGATTTTGGAATAATATTTTCCACATAAATATATACCGGGTTACCGGATACCTACACCTGTTTTAGTTGCGAAAAAATCACTGATTACGTTCTACCATATTATAACAATAAATATAATAATGGTATATATAATAATAATATACATAATAATATATTAAAATAGTGAAATCGATAATTTTTTTCTCTATACATCATCTAATAAACCAAACACTGTGTCATGAATACATGTATTCGTAAATAATGACTCAAGTACCTACCAGCTATTAATAATGATAATATTTCGTTATAAGAACTACTTACTTGCATTTTTGACGATAGTATTAAATCACGAAACGAATAAAGTTAATAATGGGAAATAGCGATGTTTATAATATTAAATTATAATACAATCAAACTATGAATCTGGCGCTCAGACAAAGTCCAGAAAATTACGTCTTTCCCGAAAAAACTAAATCGTTTGATGTAATATAAAATGATAATATGAAAAAGAAAAATGTTTGAAAACAAATGGAAGCCGAAATTGCGTTTTGATAAATTAAAAACAAAAATATTTTGAACAACCAAAATGTTATCAAACCACATTTTATAACATAATATTATTATTTAATATAAATGTACCAAAATACTGTATCAGCTATTAGTTACAACCTAATACAAATCAAAAACAAATATTGGAAAGAAATCACTATATAGGTAGAAACATATTTTTTGATATAAACTGTATGAAATATAATTCTTTTTGGGTATACATTATGAGGTGCAATTCGTTGAATGTGGAATAAAAAAAAAAAAATTCCGATAACCAACACTGAATTTAAATCAGTTAGGTACTGCCTATGTGCAATATAATAAAAAGATTGTTTAAGTGTAATATTACATTATTATGGTATAGTTTTTCTTACTTGGGATAAGTGACGTTTGGCAGCGGCTTCAAGAAACACCTTTGTCGAAGTATGCCTTCCCACAGCTGCACTCCTATGATTCCAAATATGAAGAACACGAAGAAACACAACAGCAGCACATTACCCAGCATCGGCAAAGTGTCCAAAAGCAACATGACCAATATGCGCATACCTGTAACAATTCAAAGGTTTCAGGTTTCAGCAATGGTACAAACGTCGACGTACGAAATTGTGCAGGATACGACTATGATCGGGTTCGATACTATTATCATTACTATTATTATTGTTATTATTTGTTACAGTCGAGTTTATCGAAATCTCGAAAGCCCGGATAACTCTGGTTTTTGTCTTACCACCTTGAAGTGTTTTTAACTGGTGTTTGAGGTGGGCATATATCAATTGCGCCGGAAACCGCAGGTAAAGAAAGAAAAATTATGGGATAGGAAAAAGGTATACATCAACTGCGCCGATCGATATTCCAATGTTATAAATTGTATACGTCAATTTCGCCGATCGATATTTGATTACGATATTTAATTACGCTGATCGATTCTTAAATATATTATATAAATGTCTATAACACTATTTCTATTATAACTACATATCGGTATTTACGTGTTTTAATCTAATATATCTACATCGTATATCTATATCATAGGTACGTTTGAATTATATTATTTTATTACTTGAAAATGAAACAAATTACAAAATGTGGACAAATACCATGTTGGGTTATAGGTAAATCCATAGTATTGTGCAATACAATTCCATGCGTTGTTCGTATAGTAGTCGTTCGTTTAGTTGTCGTGGCTCGTGCTTAAATTTATAATGGAAATTGTATTAAGTGAACGTGGTAAAGAACTAATTATTTACCAAAATTATAAATTTTCTTATAAGGAACTTACCAAAAAAGGGCATGAATGGCAGTGCGCACACAAAAGTTGCAACTCTAAGCTGTACGTAGATGAGGGTAAAACTACAATTTTATTTGAAGAAATTAAACATGAACATCATCCTCCTGATAACTTCATCAGAAAGATAAATTTGTATGTAATATATGTATGTAAATTATTTTTATTTAAATTTAATTTTTAATATAACTTTTTTAATACCAGCGCAATAGATGTATTCCTTTTTGATATACCTTTTTTGTACCGGCGCAATATATGTAGGTATAGGTACTATACAGGTAGTGTCCCAAATTCGGAGCAATTGACGAAACCCCTTTGAGGTGTTGAACTCGAAACATATACAATAATCGAATTTATTTTTATGTCCCTCTAGATTCGAGTTATCGAGACTCGACTGAATTAATCGACGATTAATTAGTATTTTTTCATCAACAGTAGTATGTTTATTATAACGCCTCCGGCATAAACTTTATTCAAATGTATAGCCGGTCAGCCATGCATTCAAAGGATCGTCAATGCCCACGATATCAGTATTATATGATTATAATATGAAATGTTTTTCGATGCAAATCATGTTTAAAGAGTCTATATAGGAACGCATAGCTTATTTGATCGCATTCGAAATGTATCAAGGTCAACATTAACTTTATACTACTATAGCTACTACAAATAAAAAATTGTAAACTTTTAAATATAAGAATTTATTATAAGTAAAATTCTAGTTGTTTTAAAGACATTATTTAATAATATTTGAGCGGAGATACGAATCTGTTGGTTTCACAATGATTTGTGTTTTTTGTCTGAACTCTAAAGACACTTTTTCTAGCCCAGTGCCCAAAACGGATTCAATATTAAGTGTGGTTTCTGGTATCAAATTATATCTAGTCTGTACTTAGATTAAATTAAATTCCAAGTACTTTTCAAAATTATCGGGAAAAACAAAAAACCGATTGCAAAAAAAACGAAATTCATTACGAAACACCAGTTTACGACAAAATCGATTTTGTTATTTTTTTTTCAAAAAAACAATAGCTGCACGTTAGGTTGGGTAGTATTCGGTACTTGCGAAATATTCACCAAGTATTTATATTAGCATTTCCTATATACCATGGTATAGTTTTTATGATATTATAATGTTATATTGACCTTTTTAAGCTATTTATTTATATAAACTATTTCAGACATTTTACTATTTCTTACTTAAATTATCATTTTCTATACACAATGAAAATTACAGATTTAAATTTAATCATAAATGAATAAACAAACAATGATTAGCAAAGTAGTATAACTATTAAACTATACACTGCCACACACTTAATTTTAATATATTATTATGTGGGTAACAGTGACATATATTATAACTAAACTGAACTCCGTCTAAGTATAACAAATTATTATTTTATTTTTAAGCTAAGCTATAAGTATAGAATAAATTAAATAGGGCTTAACAATAGTTTATAATTTAACTTAGGTTTTGTCGGCTTAATGTTATTCATCAAATATAATATTATGTTCTTCAATCGACGGTAAAGGTAATTAAACTTATCTTATAATATATAAAATTATGCTTACAGTATAAATTTAGAAGGGATAATTAAATAAATTTGATTTCAATTTTCAAACTGTTCTATAATAATATTACAGTCTGTTAAATGTTGACGATAATTTATTAATTATTGCTGAGAGTTTCAATCGGAAAATAAAAAAGGCCAAATCGATTACTCGGGTATAGTGTAAGTCGTTGTAAGATTCGGATCAAAGTTGTAAGAATTTATCAGTGCGGTATATTTTGTAAATTAGACACGACACAATCAATTCGAATTCTTCAATCTATAAATGAAATGAAATTACGATATTGTTGTTTGAAACATTCTATTTTGATATTACGATTAAAGCAAAAACAAATTTTAATTTAGATTCTGATTGCTATTGAACTGAAATTAAATACGGTACAACATGGAATTAATATTTTAACACACTTTAGTTCGGTTCTGATGTTCTATAACACTTTATTGACTTTTTTTAATATTCGACTAAATACAATTGAATAGTACCCACCCATAATATAATACGATGTGATTAAATACTCGTCCCGAGTACCCAAATCAAACATAATTTTACTTTAATATTATAATCTATTTCGTTATTATAATAATAATATTATATTATTCTTTAAAACGATGTCAAAACCGTAACGCGAATTAATCATTGCCCGGCCAACGGTTGGTTATGTAATCAATCATTCTTTTTTTTTACTATTATTATTATTAGTATCTACCTTGTGAATAATGCAATACAATAATTTCCTAACATCTTCGTGTAACTCGAAACTGCGCGCACTGCCTTTATAATAATAATAATAATATTATATTATTATAACGTTTTATTAGCGGGTTGCCTTCACGGTCCTTTCAGCCCACGGGAACAGTCTTTGTTCCGCGTAATTTCCGCCTTCTGCATATAAAGTCCAACAGAAAGCCATCGTCTGCAGTTGTTCTTTAATGTAATGTTAGAGCTCGTCTGGGAGGTGGTTCGTGTGCAATGCATAAATTTCAGTAGGCATAGAGACGATGAGGTTATTACAGCGTTTATGGTGCAGCTAATTTTAGTCTGAAAAAATTACACTGAAACTTCAAATGAATTATATTACGTGAATGTCAAAATACGCGTATTTAGGACGGTCGCTTTTTAAACGTGTCTTAAACCGGAGGATATCGAAATTCCTTGAATCCACTACGAACGCAGATGATCGGCAGTGATCCTACTGATTTATTGTGGAATCGTCGAATGTATTATCTTTATTTATTGTTTTCAAAGGACACCAAAAAATCCAAAACAAACGAGTCTTGAACAATATGTCCAATGGATATTTATTGCATAAATAATATTATTAAGGATTAAATAGCGATATTTTTGACATAAAAATGTACTAATAATATTATGTAAAGTGTAATTAGGGGCTTTGGATCCGGTGCGTTTTTAGCACTGAAACACGTCTTACAGGAAAAACTCTCACTCCTTGTAGAAAAGTCGGATTTCGTTAGCTTTGTTTGATTATTTAAAAGAAAGAAACATTTTGCAGGTCGGCGAGATCGAAGTCCGATTTTAAAAATTATAATTACGGAAGCTAAAATAGGAATTTGAATAGTGCACAAAATTTGTAATTTTTCAAACGTATTTTTCTAACACTATTCAAAATAGGTACCTCGAATGAAAATTCGCCTTAATCCTATCTGAAAAAAAGTTCTTTTCTTTCAAATAAAAAAAAATTATCGAAATTCCACACGTCAACGAGGCGTGCGAGATTTTCCTGTGATGTCATTTTTGATGAAACCATACACCTATCAACCCCGGAAAATAGATATCTGGCAGTAGATTAGTGGAAAAGTATTACAATTATGGGAACAACTAAAATGTAAAATATAATTTTTGCAAATTTTATAGAATTGCGGGACATTTTTAAAACCGGCACCGATACACCCTTAAAGCAATAGAAAATATACATATACGTATATTCGAATTGTCACATTATTTTGGCTTTTGGGCGAGTTGAAACAAAAACAAATTACGGAAAACGGATATATTTACGCAACGACAGTTTTTTTTTTTTTTACAAAATCGATTTAATTTATTCGTTGTAATACAAATATAAATAACTGTAGGGACATGAAATGTTCATCAAATATTTACATAAGCATTATATCTAAGGACACGAAATTTTCAAACTATTTTCAGGTATTTTCGTTTTATTATATATAAAGACGACGTTAGACATTATTGACTATTTTCGTATATTTTTCCATATCGTTAACACTATAGACGCATAGTTTGCCGTCACGACGACATCACTTCCTCGGTACACCACAAACTTTTTGATCCCATTTCGTACACGGTTTTTTGAATATATATACCTGTACAATACCACGAAAACTGCTGTTGAGTTAAATTGTGTGTTATAAATGCGACTGGAAATGCTTTAAAATGTTGTTAGCGGAGTTAACGCAGACAGATAACTGAGAATGCTGTTCAGAATGGCATTCTAAGTTTTAACAACTTGTGCGAGAAGGAAATTGTTCGGAAAGTCAGTCCGTAGAAAGACACAATTTAGTTATCGAATTCAAGTTGTTCAAGATTTATGATCCGTTGCACTGTTGTAGTTTAGGGCTATAAAGAGTTGAAGTAAGTTCCTATTAAATGATCTATGACACGTTCAAATAAATTACTATTAGACATAATATGAATTTTCATGATCGTTATT